TTTGTCGGCAAGGTGATGTCTCTACTTTTTAAGATGCTGTCTAGGTTTGTCATCGCTTTCCTCTCAAGAAGGGAGCCTTTGTTTACCACTCACCAAACTACTGTCGGTGAATCGCCCAGCCTCTGATAATGACTAAGGAATAGTCTGTGAATCGCCCAGCCTCTGATAATGACTAAAGAATAGAGGTATACTGGGTCACCCTCTCATTGGACTTAGCAACAGTGCAGTCTAGTCCGACTAACAGCAGCATGCCAAGGTTTCAGGTAGCATTCCTCTCTACCCATCACTTGCTGCCTGGGTCCTTTTTAACTTGAGATGCCAGGGACTGAAAACCTTTGGCATGCAAACCAGAAAGCTAAGTTGTAGAAGAGGTAGCTGTGTTAGCCTGTGCGCCAGGGACTGAAAACCTTTGGCATGCAAACGAGAAAGCTAAGTTGTAGAAGAGGCAGCTGTGTTAGCCTGTGCAAGCATTATAGCTGAAAACAAAATGAAAATAAAGAGCTTCTGTCTGATGAAGTGGACTTGTCCACAAAAGCTCACCTTAAGAATGATAAAAGTCTTAAAGTGGTGCCACGTTTTTGTCTGTTTTTACTCTTTATTTTTATTTAGTTGTCACCAGAAAGCAAAGGCCCCGCATCCTTTGAATGAAGGGGTTATGGAATTCAGTCTGGTGTAGGTATCGTGAGGGACACACAAGTATTCCCGGGCATCTACATCATCTCTTTCTCTCCTGCACATACAGAGGAACATCAGATACGACTGATATTCAGATTGTGACAATGGGTGGAAGATGTAACACCAAAGAGAGCTCCCGCTGTCAACAAAAAGCCTGCAGAGTTAATCCATCTTCAAGGCTGGTTGGAGGGACATGGCATACTGCAAGATGATTACTGGATTGGTGAGTCCTTTCGCATCAAAGTGTGTCAGATCACATTCTTGTCCTGTCTCAGATGCGCTAGGCTCAAGCTGTCCAGATGCTGACTTAAGCAAACGTACATTCAGTCTTAACCTTATAAAAAAGTCAAACTTTTTTTTTTTACGACTGTACAATTACCACCCATATTGGAGTTGGGCAGTGGTTCCCAACCTTAGGTCCCAAGACTTCTTGGACTGTAACTCCCGGAAAGCCTTTGCCAACACAGCTAATGGTGAAAGCTTCTGGGAGTTCCAGTCCAAGAACATCTGGGGACCCAAGGTTTAAAACCACAGGAGTAGGGAATCAAAGCTTGGAAAAGTTACTTTTATGGACATCTCAGAATTCCCCAGTCTGAACAGCCCGCACCAACCTGCACCAGAGTGACAACACATCCCCCACACACCCAGTGTCTGCCCCAGAAACCAATCCCAACAACTGTACATACAAATATACACATCTTCCAGAATTCCCCCCATAATCCTTAGAATGCTAAGCCCATATTCACAGGCAAATGAACCCGAGTTAGCAGCAGAAGGCATGGATGGCCTTTTTACAAGGCTATCATGTTTCTCTCCCCCCCCCCCAGGGATTCCAAAAAGGCTGCAGTGCATACATTATAATAACAACATAATAATCTATCTTTGATAATCCTGTGGTGCTCCGGAGGAACAGTTGCCAAATAACGCTGCACGCAGAGTGGATTAGAAAAGACAAACGGGTGGCAGCAACATTTGAAGGGATGCCAGGCAACTACCCGGAAGCAGGCACAGATTTATATATGGCAAGGTTAATACTGCTTGCTGGCAGGGGGGTGGGAGCATGTAAAAAAAGGAGAGTGAGGGAGAGAGAGAAAGAGAGAGAGAAGCTCTGACGGAATAATCAGGGTAAAAAGGAGCCAAGATCAAGAGACTAAAACAGACTGGCATGCTGTGAATTAAAGCTTATACTCCTGCAGGGAATTTGCTTTATCAAATGCTTTGCCACATCAGTGCTATGATCAAGGGGTGTAAATATTTCTATAGCAAACAATTACTCTGGACACTACATGAGGACAGAATAGCTCTCTTGTGCACAAACATTAATTAAGACCAGCATCACCAAGCCTGCATCACTGGCTCCCTCTTTATCAAATGAGGCCAGCAGATAGAATCCCCAGGAAGGCTTGAAGCCAACAGACCTCCCATGCTACTAGTCCTCAGCATCTTGTATTCAGAGGTCCACCACTTGAGAAGAGTTAAGTTGTTATGGCTGTGAAAGCACATAGCTGGAGGTTTTTTTTAAGATTAAAAAAACCCTAAGTTCTGAAGAAGCTGTTCCTATCAGCAAACCAGCGGCTTCTAGGAAAGAAGGGGAAGAATCTTGAGCATCCACAACAGAGGCCCAGCTGAGCTTCACACAATGGGTAATCTGAAAAATGATGACAGGGCAGGTGCTGAATTTTGCCACAAGGAACCTGTCAAACTTGTGTGTGTGTGTGTGTGTGTGTATGTTGAAAGACTTGAAGAAGGGCAAATTAAATTTTGAAATGAGACACCTAGAGGCTTTGAATCCATCATTTTTTCAC